GAGCAAGACGATGGTAGTGCCCACCCTGGATTCAATCCACGGGTGCGCGCTAGTCGCGCCGCATGGGCCCGCGCGAGCCACACGTGCCCGGGGACCGAGCGGAGGTTTGCGGCTCCCCGAGAGCACCCGGGAGCGCCTGGAGTGCCCGAGATTGGAGAGATCCCACATGGCCTCCGCAGGTGACCTGGAACCTTCCCCGTACTCCCAGCGAGTCCCTTTGACTTTGAGGCCTATGGGTTCGGCTCCACAGATCCCAAGAGGCCCCCAGCAATCCTCGTGACAGCCCAGGGTGTCGCCTTGGTGGCTCGATGGAGCTTCTAGGCGGCTCCGAGCAGGGCCCCCAAGAAACATCACAGGAAAAAGCTGTCGGGTTATCCTGGGTTTTGGTACTCTCCACTTTCGTCTCCAGATGCCTACAGTGCCGTTCGTAATGCATGCTCCGCGTGCGGATCATGTATTAAACATGCAGGGACCTAGTAGTAAAAACAACGATGAGCTCATGCATAAATTTGTTCATATATCAATCATGTATTAAAAAAACCATATTTCTAAAAATCCGATGTATTGAAAACTGCCCTGTACAAGGGAGACCCCAGCCGCCTCCAAGAAAACTCGGGAGGCGCCCAGCAGCTCCCCAGAGGGCCTGGCGCTCCCCTGAGAGGTGGGCCCAGATGGGCCGGGTTACAGTGCCGTTTTTCCCGGAAAGGGCATGAGCCCAGGGTTCTCTTTTAGTAGGTAAACCTGTCCCCCGGTGCCAACTTGAAGGAGGCCGGCGAATTTTTTCCCTGATAAATATCGAGGTCGAAGGAGGCCGGCGAATTAAAATTTGAGGATGTCTCGAGCGAAACGCTTGTTTTTGAAATCCCGATCGATAAATCACAGGGTGCGGGCCACTTTTTCGTGTGTTGAGGATGTCTCGAGCGAAACGCTTGCTCCGCAGAGTTTGCCGAGGATGTCTCGAGCGAAACGCTTGTTTTGCAGAGCCGACCGCGACGCGGAAAAGCGCCCCGCGCGAAGGAATTTCGATGATGTCTCGACTAATTCCTTTGTTTTTGTACGATTTCCTGGAATTTTGGCAGGATGTCTCGAGCGAAATGCACGACCCCACCCTAGCACGACCATACCCCAGCACGACCACACCCCAGCACGACCAGACCCCAGCACGACCCCACCCCAGCACGACCCCACCCCAGCACGACCATACCCCAGCACGACCACACCCCAGCACGACCCGACCCCAGCACGACCCTACCCCAGCAAGACCACACCCCAGCACGACCACACCCCAGCACGACCTCACCACAGCACGACCACACCCCAGCACGACCACGCCCCAGCACGACCACGCCCCAGCACGACCACGCCCCAGCACGACCACCCCCCAGCACGACCACACCCCAGCACGACCACCCCCCAGCACGACCACACCCCAGCACGACCACACCCCAGCACGACCACACCCCAGCACGACCACACCCCAGCACGACCACACCCCAGCACGACCCGATCGATAAATCACAGGGTGCGGAGCACCCCAGCACGAACCCACCCCAGCACGACCCCACCCCAGCACGACCCCACCCCAGCACGACCACGCCCCAGCATGACCACACCCCAGCACGACCACACCCCAGCACGACCACTCCCCAGCACGACCACACCCCAGCACCCACCCCAGCACGACCCCACCCCAGCACGACCACACCCCAGCACGACCACACCCCAGCACGCACGATCACACCCCAGCACGACCCCACCCCAGCAAGACCACACCCCAGCACGACCACACCCCAGCACGACCTTACCACAGCACGACCACACCCCAGCACGACCACGCCCCAGCACGACCACGCCCCAGCACGACCACGCCCCAGCACGACCACGCCCCAGCACGACCACCCCCCAGCACGACCACCCCCCCAGCACGACCACCCCCCAGCACGACCACCCCCCAGCACGACCACACCCCAGCACGACCACTCCCCAGCACGACCACACCGCCTTGGTTGAGTGGTTGCCTGTCGTCGTGGAATGTTTCGTGGGGTGTCTCGTGGAATGTTTCGCGGGGTGTCTCGTGAAATGTTTCGTGAGGTGTCTCGTGGAATGTTTCGTGAGGTGTCTCGTGGGCTGTTTCGTGAGGTGTCTCGTGGGATGTTTCGTGAGGTGTTGCCCAGTTGGGTATCATGAAAACGTGTCCATGCTCCACATGTCTATATCCCTTTCCGGGTTCGTGGGTCCATCATGTTCCCGGAAAGGGCAAAGGCCCAGGGTTCTCTTTTAGTTGGTTTCCCCCCGGTTTTGACGGCTGTAGGGCCGGCGAATTTCTTTTGCGATAAATAACGAGGTCGCGTAGGGCCGGCGAATTAAAATTGAGGATGTCTCGAGCGAAACGCTTGTTTTTCAGAATTTGTTGAGGATGTCTCAAGCGAAACGCTTGTTTTGTGCTATAGAGTGTCCTCTCCTGGGGACCTGAATTCTGAGGATTTCTCAAGTGGATTGCTTGTTTTCACGTGCCCAGGTCTTGAGGATGTCTCGAGCGAGACGCCTGGTTTCACGCCTCCAGGTGGCCCAGACAGATGTCTAGCATGAGGATTTGTTGAGGATGTCTCGAACCAGAGGCTTGTTTTCACGTGTCCAGGTCGCCCAGGCGGATGTCTAGCATGAGGATTTGTTGAGGATGTCTCGAGCGAGACGCTTGTTTGCACGTGTCCAGGTTGCCCAGGCGGATGTCTAGCATGAGGATATGCTGACAACGTCTTGAGCGAAACGCGTGTTTTCACGTGTCCAGGTCGCCCAGGCACAGCACAGCCCTCGGCACGGTACATCAATATCGATACCCTGAGCATTGCAGCCTGGCATGTTGCCTGGCACGTTCCGCGGAGCGTCCCGTGGCGAGTCCACCTGGCACGTCGCGCGGTGCACGTCCATTGGCACGTTCCGTAGCGCGTCCCCTTGGCACGTCCCGCGGTGCGTGCCCATGGCACGTCCCCTGGCACGTCGCCTGGCGCGTCCCTTGGGACGTTCCGCGGCGCGTCCTCTTGGCATGTTCCCTCTGTCGATTAGTTCTGGGGCAGCTACCATCTGCTCAGGCAGCTCGAGCTTACGATCCAGATCAGTTCGGTGAGGACTCGGATGCCAGGGAGGACTCGATCCACAACGCTATACAGAGCACAATCGCGGCATGGCACATCGCAGTTCAGCACGGCCCAGCACAGCACAGCCGTCGGCACGGTACATCAAGATCGATACACTCAACTATGCACCTTGGCACGTTCCTTGGCGCGTTCCTTGGCGAGTCCACCTGGCACGTCGCGCGGAGCGTCCCCTGGCACGTCCCTCGGCACGTCCACTGGCACGTTCCGTAGCGCGTTCCCTTGGCACGTCCCGCGGTGCGTGCCCATGGCACGTCCCCTGGCACGTCGCCTGGCGCGTCCCTTGGGACGTTCCTCGGCGCGTCCTCCTGGCATGTTCCCTCTGTCGATTAGTTCTGGAGCAGCTACCATCTGCTCAGGCAGCTCGAGCTTACGCTCCAGATCAGTTTGGTGAGGACTCCGATGCCAGGGAGGACTCGATCCCCAACGCTATATAGAGCACAATCGCGGCATGGCACATCGCAGTTCAGCACGGCGTAGCACAGCACAGCCCTCGGCACAGTACATCATCATCGATACATTCAGCATTGCATGTGCCCGTCGCCCAATCAGGTGTCTTTGAAATGTTGCAATGCCTTACATTTCTATATTCCTTTCCGGGTTCGTGGGTCGATCATGTAATGCATGCTCCGCATGCGGATCATGTATTAAGTATCCCGGCAAAGCAACCTAACAACGATGTGTAGGAGCATATTTGGAAGCATTCCCCTTAAGATTCAGATGAGAATCCAGTTGTAGAATTCTGCTGTTCTCGCAGTCGTAGTCGCATTCGCGATGACAGTCGCAGTGGCAACGGCAGTCGCAGTCACAGCCTCAGCCTCAGCCTGCCTCAGCCTCAGCCTCAGCCTGCCTCAGCCTCAGCCTGCCTCAGCCTCAGCCTCAGCCTGCTTCAGCCTCAGCCTCAGTCTGCCTTCAGCCTCGGCCTCAGCCTCAGCCTGCCTCAGCCTCAGCCTGCATCAGCCTCAGCCTCAGCCTCAGCCTGCCTCAGCATCAGCCTGCCTCAGCCTCAGCCTCAGCCTGCCTCAGCCTCAGCCTCAGTCTGCCTTCAGCCTCGGCCTCAGTCTGCCTTCAGCCTCGGCCTCAGCCTCAGCCTGCCTCACCCTCAGCCTGCCTCAGCCTCAGCGTCAGCCTGCCTCAGCATTCAAAATGTGGCCCGGGAATGGAGTTCTGGGAACTCGAAGAACACGAAGTGGCCTACAGTTGGGGCCGGGCATTCAAAATCATGCCCAGGAATGGAGTTCTGGGAACTCGAAGACCACGAAGTGGCCTACAGTTGGCTCTGGGCATTCAAAATCATGCACAGGAATGGAGTTCTGGGAACTCGAAGACCACGAAGTGGCCTACAGTTGGCTCCGGGCATTCAAAATGTGGCCCGGGAATGGAGTTCTGGGAACTCGAAGAGCACGCTGTGGCCTACAGTTGGCTCCGGGCATTCAGAATGTGGCCCGGGAATGGAGTTCTGGGACCTCGAAGACCACGAAGTGTATAACTGTTTGCTTAAAACGACTTCCGCGGATTCTCCCAGGCACCCGTCCGGCATCTGCCCAGACCCCCCTGGGACGTCATGATGCTCTCTTTTGAGCTTACTATTTGATCCTACTAGAAACCTATCAGTCTTCGCTGTTATGTAAACATGCAGGGACCTAGTACTAAAAACAACGATGAGTTCATGCAACAATTTATCCATGAATAGATCGTGTATTAAAAATCATATATTTGTAAAAAAAACATCCCATTTATTAAAAACAAGTGCCCTGTAGCCTCCAAGATTGGGTCGGCTACACCAGTGGGATCAGCGCGTTCGAGAAGGATGGACAGTGGCAGCGTGCTCTGTCGTTGTCCGTCGAGATGCGGGAGGCGAAGCTGGAGCCCGACGCCAGTGGCTTCAGGGCCAGGATCGGTGCGCTCGGCAGAAGTGGGCAGTGGCAGCGTGCGCAGTCGTTGTCTGTCGAGATGCGGGAGACGACGTTGGAGCCCGGCGTCAGTTGGTACAACCTTAGGGTCGAGGTCTCCAGGCCTCCCAGATAGGTGCCGAGTAGATGGGGTCGGAGGATCGGGCCGCATCGGCGATGCATCGCCGATGCGGCCCGATGTGGAGCCCGATTGTCTACACGCCTACGTCGCCGATGTATCGCCGACGTCGCCGATGCATCGCCGATGCACCAGGCAATGCGTTTACGATGCGGCGCGATTCTCCGACCCCATCTGATCGGACCCATCGGGGAGGCCTCCAAGGTCGCCAGGCGCCGCCGCCGCAGGGCCTGCCTTGCGGCGGCGCGCGCGGAGGATGCTGGGGCTGGGGCGGCTGCCAGCGGCGCTCGCCTGGGCCGCCGGCGTGTGCCAGCGGCCGAGGCTGCCGTGGCCAGCGCGCGCGAGAGCGGTAGGCAGCTGGGCAGCGGAGCAGCGAAGTGAGGGAGGCTGCGCTCGAACCCGACGCTACTCTGCGACCACTAGCGAACCCTGGGATATCTGGGTATCTGGGGTATCTGACCCTGCGACCCTACGGGTCCCATCGAAACTGGGGTATCTGACCCCCTCGCTGGGGTTTCTCCGGCTGCAGGCATCCTTCGTTTTTTCCCGGAAAGGGCGCGGGCCCAGGGTTCTTTTTTAGTAGGCTCACCCTTGGAATCGACTTGCGTAGGGCTGGCGGAATTATTCTGCGATAAATGCTGAGGTCGCGTAGGGCCGGCGAATTAAAAAAGTGAGGACGTCCCGAGCGAAACGCTGTTTTTTGGAATTCCGATAGATAAAACACATGGTGAAGTGCACATGTTCGTTTGCGGCGGATGTCTCGAGCGAAACGCTTGTTTTGCAGAATTTGTTGAGGATGTCTCAAGCGTTTTGTGTTTTGTATTGTTCCCTTCCTTCTGACCAGAGTTCAGAGGATGTCGCAGGTGAAGTGCTTGTTTTCACGTGCCCAGGTCTTGAGGATGTCTCGAGCGAGACGCTTGGTTTCACGCGTCCTGGTTGCTCAGGCGGATATCTAGCATGAGGATTTGTTGAGGATGTCTCGAGCGAGACGCTTGTTTTCACGCGTCCAGGTCGTCCAGGCAGATGTCTAGCATGAGGATGTGTTGAGGATGTCTCGAGCGAGACGCTCGTTTTCACGTGTCCAGGTTGCCCAGGCGGATGTCTAGCATGAGGATGTGTTGAGAACGTCTCGAGCGAGACGTTTGTTTTCACTTGCCCAGGTCGCCCAGGCGGGTGTCCAATATGAAGATGTACGAGACGCGTGCTTTCACGTGTCCTGGTCGCCCAGGTGTATGTTTAACATGAGGATCTGTTGAGGATGTCTCGAGCGAAACGCTTGTTTTCACGTGCCCTTGTCGCCCAGGCGGATGTGTAACATGAAGATGTGCTGAGGATGTCTCGAGCGAGCCGTTTGTTTTCACGCGTCCAGGTCGCCCAGGCGGATGTCTAGCATGAGGATGTGTTGAGGATGTGTTGAGCGAAACGCTTGTTTTCCTTGGCCAGGTCGCAAAGTCGGATGTTTCGCACGAGGATTTGGGCAGGATGTCTCGAGCGAACCGCTTGTTTTCACGCGTCCAGGTTGCTCAGGCAGATGTCTAGCATTAGGAGGTGTTGAGAACGTCTCGAGCGAGACGCTCGGTTTCACGTGTCCAGGTCGCCCAGGCGGATGTCTAACATGAGGATGTGTTGAGGATGTCTCGAGCGAGACGCCTGCTTTCACGTGTCTAGGTCGTCCAGGCGGATGTCTGACATGAAGATGTTCGGAGGATGTCTCGAGCGAAACGCTTGTCGCAGTAGAGTGCGTCGCAGTCCAACCTCGCCCGCTCGTGGGGCGTCCCCTGGCGCACTGGCGCGCTCACTGGCGCGTCCCTTGCGACGTTCAGGCGTGACGTGCCCTGGCACGTCCCCTAGCACGCCACTTGGCGTGGCACGTTCCCTGGCTCATCCTCTGTCGCGTTTCCTTGCTCGTCCCCAGGCGTTTCCCCTTCCCGTTCCGTGGCGCGACCCTTGCAACGCCCCTTGACATGACGTCCTCTGACCGCCCCATGACGCGCGCCTTGGCACGTTCCGTGGCAGGTCCCTGACACGTCCAGGGCACCTCCCCTGATGCGTCCCCTGACACGTCCCCCAGCGAATCCCCTATTGCGCTCCTGGCACATCCTGTGGCGCGTCCGTGAGCCTGTGTCTCTGTCGTGTCGCTCTTTTTCGGAGCTGAGTCGGATCTTGAGGTCGAGTTGATTGAACGTCCTCCACGTTTCCGTTTCAAGCAGCTCTGGGGCAGTTACCACGTGCTCAGGCATTACGAGCATAAGATCCAGATCAGTTCGGTCACGACTCGGATGCTAAGGAGGACTCGATCCACAGCGCTATAGAGCACAATCGCAGCACGGCACATCGGAAATCAGCACGGCGCAGCACAGCAGAGCCCTTGGCACGGTACATCAAGATTGGTACACTCAGCATTGCAATTGCCCGTCGCCGATCATGTGTCTTGAACACGTTGCCATGCCTCACGTTTCAATATTCCTTACCGGGTTCGAGGGTCGATCATGTTGTACCCTGGCCGCTTCTTCAGAAATCTGACATTTGCAGGGGCAGGGTTTACATGTGGCTGTCTGGTTGCCAGCCTCGGTGTTGGGGTCAGCTTTGGGTCGGGGAAGCGTAAGACTTGAGTTCGCCAGAACTCGGGTTTGCCGACGCTTTTCGCTGGGCCCGTCCTGAATTTTCGCGGTCCCGTTTTCTTTAGACGTTTGGAGCGGGAGCTCGCGTCGATCAGATTGGGTCTCGTCATCTTGCACGGCCCCGTCAGGCCAACCCGAGTCCCCCGAACCTGAGGCTTACATCTCCCTGATTGCGGTCAGCGGCGCGCGCGCGAGAACAGCGGACATTGAGAGGAGGCGCCGCCATGACTCGTCGAGCTGTGGGCGGCTGATCTAGACCTGGGCGGCATGGGCACTGCGCTGGGGGCGGCACGGGCGAGACAGATGAGCAGTGGCAGCAGGCCTCGCCGCTGCTCGGCGAGATGTTGGACGCGAGCGTGGGGTCCGAGGCCATCTGTATACCTCACCGCTGGAGCCCGCGCGTGCGCGGCGGACACCTGGCGCCCGCTCCTCCGCCCCGGCCTGGCTGGAGGCTGCTCCGGGGCCGCACCGCCGATCTGGGCGCCCTGGGAGCCTCTGCATCGCCTGGACCCGCGTGCCGAGAGCCTCCGGGCGAGCCGCTCCGACGTGCGGCGCCGCCGTCGCGCGGCGCCGAGGCCTCCAGAGAGAGAGAGAGAGAGCCCCTCTCCGAGGTGGCCTGCGTCGTGGGCGAAGAGCACGTCCGTGTCCGCGGCCTCGCGGGCTGCGACCCCGTCGAGCTGGGGCGCTCTCTCTCCGCGGATGCCCCGCGCGGAGCGCATCCGTGCGGCCGCGTATCCGCAGGATCGCGTCCCAGAGCCCAGACCCCGAGGGCTCGAGTACGGACATGTTCGCCGCTCGTGATCTTAGAGGCGCCATGCGCACCCGGCAGGTGGTGGCCAACTCTCGGCATCCCAAGTGGGGTCCGGGTAGATGGGGTCAGAGGATCGCGCCGAGTCGCCGTCGACGTGGAGAAAATGGGGCGCCACATCGAGGCGCATTGGCGATTGGCGCTGCGGCGCAGGCAGGAGGGCGTACAGTCAAAGCCGATGACAGGGTTGGGCAATCTTCCCAAGGGCACCCTTGCATCCTGGCACCTTCGGTCCATCCTTGGCCTCTCTCCATGGCCAGCCCTTCTCGAAGAAGCTTCCAAGCGGGCGTCCAAGGAGCTTGCGTCCTCACCGCGCATCCCTACCAGTAGTTCTGACTGTGTACGCCGATCCTGGGCCCAGGACGGGCCTGTCCCGCCCCCATCGTTTCCCCTCGGTCCTCGGGGCTTGGCTCTCCAGCGGCCGTCCGCGGGACGACCTGGACACCCTTGGGAGCGCTCCCGGCGAGGCGCAGGCCGCCAGAAGGCGCACTCCAGGACTGCAGGGCCGCCGAGAACAGGCGCCGACGCCCGAAAGTGCAGGCGAGCCTCGCGCCCGAGGCTTCCCCCTCTCCGAGCCCCCCGCCCCCGAGTGTGGGTGACTCGCTGGCGCCCTCGCGCACGGCCGGCGCGGGCCCGCGGGCGCCGACCGGCGCCCGCGCGCCGGGCTGCTCGCCCGAAGTCGGGCCTCTCCCTCTACAGGAATAATATCAAATTATCCCAGTGCGACCCTACCTAGGAGTTTGAGCATTTAGGATAGCAACATCTACATCTAGGCTAGGCTAGGCTAGGCTAGGCTATGCTATGCTGCGCTATGCTATGCTATGCTATGCTGCGCTATGCTATGCTATGCTATGCTATGCTATGCTATGCGATGCTGCGCTATGCTATGTTATGCTAGGCTATGCTATGCTATACTATGATATGTTGCGCTATGCTATGCTATGCTATGCTATGATGCACTATGCTATGCTATGCTGCGCTATGCTATGCTCTGCTATGCTGTGCTATGCTATGTTATGCTGCGCTTTGCTATGCTAAACAATGCTATATTATGCTATGTCATGCTGCGCTATGCTATGCTATGCTATGCTATGATATGCTATGCTATGCTATGCTATGCTGAACTATGCTATGCTATGCTTGGCTATGCTATGCTATGCTGTGCTAATGCTGCGCTGCGCTAAGCTGAGGTAAGCTAAGCTATGCTAAAGCTAAGCTAAGCTAAGCTAAGTTAGGCTAGGCTAAACTCAGCTAAGCTAGGCTAGGCTAGGCACAGCTAAGCTCAGCTAAATTGTTGACGCTTCGCGTATCCCCACCAGCCCATCCAGAAACGATGCTCAGGGGAGTTGAGGTGATCAGGGAAGTCGGGGAGCATGCAGAATAACAAAGGGCGGGGGAAGCTGTCACAGACCCCGAGAGGGGGAGGATGGAAGAGGAGTCGTCGTCGTCGTCGTCGTCGTCGGAGGAGGAGGAGGAGGAGGAGGGGGAAGAGGAGGAGGAGGAGGAGGAGGAGGAGGACGGAGAAGGAGGAAGAATCGGAGGAGGAGGAGGAGGAGGGGAAGGAGCTTCTTGGGGGTCTTTTGAGGGCCTCTTGGAGGGCTTTTTGGGCGCCTTGGGGCATCTTGGGCGCCTCTTGGGACCCTCTTGAGGCGCTCTGGGGAGCCTTCGGGGCGCTTTTGGGGCCATCTTGGAGGGAGTCGATCAAACAAGAGGGGGGGTTTAATTAGCGTCCCCCCTCGGAAGCCCCTAAAATCGCCTCTTGGACCCCTCTTGGAACGCTCTTGGAGTGCTCTTGGGCGCTCTTGGGGCCGTCTTGGGGCTCTTTTGGGGCTCTCTTGGGGCCCTCTTGGGCCATCTTGGAGCCATCTCCAGGCCTCGGATGGCCATCGGAAGCGAAAAGGCGAGAAAGCAAAAATCATTGATTTTCCTTAGGTTTTGGGACGATTTTGGCCTCTTCGGGGCCTCCTTGGGGAGCTGTTTGGCCACTTGGAGTTATCTTGGGGCCGTCTTTGGGCTTCTTGGAACCATCTTAGGAGCCATCGTGAGCGATCTTGCGCTATCTTGAGCCATCTTGGAGCTCATCTTGGGTTCTCTGAGGCGCTCTTGGAGCCGTCTTGGGCCATCTTGGACGCTCTAACTACCCGCGGCCCCCCCCGTCCAGGTCCAGGGGAGGGGGTAGGGGGAGGGGTAAACCCCTCCCCAAGGGGGAAGAGGGAGGGGTGGAAGAGGATCTGCTCTAGACCACCTACGCCCAGAGGGCTGGTGGGACTAAGCTAAGTTAAGCTAAACTAAGATGAGATAAGCTAAGCTAAGCGAACCTAAGCTAAGATGAGATAAGCTAAGCTACGCTAAGCTAAGCTAAGCTAAGCTTGGCTAGGCTAGGCTAGGCAAAGCTAAGCTAAGCTAAGCTAAGCTAAGATGAGATAAGCTAAGCTAAGCTAAGCTAAGCCAGGCTAGGCAAAGCTAAGCAAAGCTTACCTAAGCTAAGCTGGGTGAACCCAGGGGGCGCAACTGGGGGAACCGCGGGGCCGATGCTGGGGGAACTGCCCGGGGCGAGCCCCACTGCCCGGCCCTTTAAGTTTAGCGAGTAAGAACCCTTTTAGGCAGAGCCTAGGTAGGGAAAAACAGAGACAACATAGTCTGGGGACGAGTTGTTTTTATACTTTTCCATCCTTTTTTAAACCTTCTTCTTGAGCATCTCTGATTTCTCGTCCGAGCATCTGTGATGCTTCGTCCGAACTCGGCCTGTAGGGGGACGTGTCAGGAGGGAACAAAAACACACACAGACACAATTCATCGTCGATCCCCCAGAAAATAGGGGAAAATATATGGGAAGTGGGGGGGGGAACACAAAAGTTCAGAAAAAATATGGGAAACGAGCCTTCCGAGAAGGCCCGCCCCTTCTCGCTTCCCCCCCGTGCGCGCCGCGGCTCCGCCGCCGTCGCCTCACCGCTAGTTACTTGGATCGGCGGCGAGATCCCTCCACGGTCCGCCTTTCGGCCTCCTCCCTCCTCCTCTCGCCATGGGGGCAGCGGGACCCGAGGGGAACGGGCCAGGAGGCTTCTTTCGCCGCTGCCGGGCTGGAGGGTCCCGGGACTGTCAGACAACGACTCGGGATGAAGACCCAGGTCCTGGGGGAAGGCCCAGGGTCCAGGACCCGTTTCCCTCGGGACCCTTTCCTCCCCATGCTAGTCCTCCTCCACAATTACTCGATATGAATACTACTCTCCCTCTTCCCCTGATGGCGTCCAGGGAGTAGTAGACCCCCCCCGCGTACTGTTTTTTACACAGGATTCCCGGGAGTTGGGTTTTCGCCTGCGTTTTTCTTCAAAATGCTGCTCTCGCTGAGGCGCCGGCCTTATTTCTGCTCCCGAATCGTTCCGAATCGTGCTCCCGCTTCAGCGTGGGCCTCATTTTCGGATCGGTGTTTTGCCTCCGTCGTTCAGGATGGCGTTCTCGCCCCAGCGCGGGCCTCTTTCTCGCGCGCCCATCCGCCCGCCACCACCGCGCCGCACCACGCCCCGCCCCGCCGCACGCACACCCACCGCCACTTCCACCCACCAACGCACGCACGCACGCACGCGCACCACCACCGCGCACCGCCACCACCACCGCACTACCCCACCCACCACCACCACGCTACACCGCGTCACACCACATCACACGCGCGCACACACAGACACACACGCACGCACGCACACACATACACACGCACACACGCACACACACACACAGACACACACACACACACACACACACCACCACCGCCACCACCACCACCGCCATCACGCACGTACGCACCTGGCCCACCACCAAACCACCAAGACGCCACACCACGTCACACCACAGCACACGCGCACACACGCACACACACATACACCACCACCACCACAACAACCACAACCACGCACACACGCACGCACGCACGCGCACCACCACCCACTACGCACACGCGCGCGGAGCCACAGGTCCGCTACGACACGCGTCCGCGGATGGAGAAAATCAGCGCCATGGTAAGGGATGGGAGGGAGGGGCAGGATGTCAGATGTAGACGCGAGCGCACCTAACTTGTCAACTTGTCCCCCTCCCCCTCCCCCTCCTCCTCCCCCTCCCCCTCCTCCTCCTCCTCCTCCTCCTCCTCCTCCTCCTCCTCCTCCTCCTCCTCCCTCCTCCTCCTCCTCCCTCCTCCCCCTCCCCCTCCTCCTCCTCCTCCCCCTCCTCCTCCTCCTCCTCCTCCTCCTCCTCCTCCTCCTCCTCCTCCTCCTCGGCCTCGAGGGGCCACGTCAGAGGGGCACCCGGCTCGCTCGGCCACGAGCACACACACGAGACGCCAGGGCCTCGGCACTCCGCCCGCTGCCGAAGGGCGGCGGTGCCTCCACGCTCGAGGGCCCCCGCCCACGCGGGCACCGGCCCCGCTCCAGCGCGGCAGCGGCGGGCCGCCGCCGCCGCTCGCCCATCTGGCCGCCGCCGGCCTGCTCGGCGCCGCTCTCGTGCCGAGGTCGGCGACGGATTCCGGACCCTGCCCTCGCCGATCAACGATTCTCGGGGGCGGCCGGACCTCCTGCCCTGACACGTCGATTCGCGAATGGGCCGTTCTCGGTTCGCGAGCTTCGGTCCCAGGCCGTTTTCACGAAGGGGAGGTTTACTAGAGGGAGGCTAGTCCACCGCCGAGATTCGGGCAGCTCGACAGGCGGCGGCTCGAGGTTCGAACCTCGAGGCTCGAGGCTCGAGGCTCTGGCCTTCGAGGGCCCTCCTCGTCGCCATGGCTGGGCGCAGCTCGAAAAGCTGGCGCGTTTGGACCCTGGCAGGGTTTGGGGGCACGATTTGAGCGAAATTCTTTACGCTTCGCGTATCCCCACCAGCCCATCTCTCAACAGCAACTCTTGCGAAGCGTGCCGACAGTCGTGTTTTTCAGGCGTGTTTCCGCCTGCCCCCGCATATCTCCCCTGTTACTCCTTCCTCCCGCCTCCTTGTACATCCTCCTTGTGGGGGGAGCGGGAGAAGGACGAGGCGGAGGAGGAGGGAGAGAAAGCGCGCCTCGTGGTTTGAGTCGTTTGTGGTTTCTCGTCCTGGTGTGAGTCGTTCGTGGTGGCTTGTATGAGCGCTGCCCCTCCTCCTGGTGTGACTCGTTCGGGCTCCTCGTGGTGTGAGTCGTTCGAGGCCCGCGTCGTGGTGTGAGTCGTTCGGGCTCCTCGTGGTGTGAGTCGTTCGGGCGCCTCGTCCTGGTGTAAGTCGTTCGGGAACCTCCTTGTGGTGTGAGTCGTTCGGGCTCTTCGTGGTGTGAGTCGTTCGGGCCCCTCGCCCTGGTGTGAGTCGTTCGGGCTCCTCGTGGGGCCTCTTGGGGGCCTCTTGGAGCCTCTTGGGGCCTCTTGGGGGCCTCTTGGGGGCCTCTTGGGGACCTCTTGGGGGCCTCCTGGGGGCTCTGGGGGCCTCGTTGGGGCCTCTTGGGAGCCTGTTGGGGGCCTCTGGGGGCCTCTTGGGGGCCTCTTGGGGGCCTCTTGGAGGCCTCTTGGGAGCCTCCTGGGGACATCAAGGCGCCATCTTGGGGCCTCTTGCGACCTCCTCAGAAGCGCAAATGAGCGCTACCCCCTGAGAAAGACAATGAGCCCAAAACCTTCGTAAAATCAATGATTCTGAGAACAAGGAAGAGGAGCGCTGCCCCCTCAGAAGGCCAAAATGGGGCCAACACCGTAGTCAAATCAATGATTTTGGCGTCACAGAAGAGGAGAGGGTTTTTTCTCTGTCCCCCCGTCGGGGCGAGAATCCTCGTGAGGGTCGTCGTTTTTTGGCCCTCCCAGGCGTCGAAAAGGACCCCCCTGACCACCCGCGGGGCGCCCTCTCCAGGTCCAGGGGGAGGGGGTAGGGGGAGGGGTAAACCCCTCCCCGGAGGGGAAGAAGGGGGGTTGAGGACAGAGAGGGCTCCCTAAACCACTCACGCCCAAAGGGCTGGTGGGATTTGACGCGACCATCGCCGATCAACGGTTCAGCCAACTCGATGGGTGGCGGGGGGTAGAGCTCGGAGCTCGTCGAGCAGGTGGCGAAGTCCGAGCCCTGCCCCCGCCTCCAATGGATTCGGGAGAAGCGATGGCTCGTGGGCGTAGGGTTCGGATGTCGCCACCCACCTCTGCAACCATCGCCTCACCGCTGCTTGGACCCAAGTTCTGGGGCAACGGTCGGGGGAGATGGGCTCAGAGCAGAGGGGGAACGCAACGAATCCCCCCAATCGTCCACTGATCGTCGATAGGGGCCTGATAGCACCACTCCGCCCAAGAACGTGCGGAATCGCTATCGGGGACCTAGCGCCGATGTATCGGCGATGTATCGCCGATTCCAGGTCGACGTTTCCCCCCCTTGAGCCAGTCCACCTTAGGCGGAGGCGGCGGCGGCGGCGGATGCGGATGCAGAGGCGGAGGCGGAAGCGGAGGCGGAGGCGGCGGCGAATGCGGAGGCGGAGGCGGAGGCGGAGGCGGAGGCTGAGGCGGAGGCGGAGGAGGAGGAGGAGGAGGAGGAGGAGGAGGAGGAGGAGGAGGAGGAGGAGGATGATGATGAGAGGATGAGGAGGAGGAGGGAGGAGGAGGCGGAGGATAGGAATAGGCGGATGATGCGATGATGCTGATGATGATGCTGATGATGCTGATGATGATGCTGATGATGCTGATGATGATGATGCTGATGCTGATGCTGAGGCTGATGATGCTGATGATGTTGATGATGCTGAGGATGCTGCTGCTGATGATGAGATGATGATGCTGATGATGTGTGATGATGCTGATGATGATGATGATATGATGTTGATGCTGATGATGTGATGCTGATGATGAGTGCTGATGATTTTGATGCTGATGCTGATGCTGATACTGCTGATGCTGATGCTGCTGATTATGATGATGATGATGCTGATGATGATGATGATGATGATGCTGATGATGTTGATGATGATGATGCTGCTGCTGATGATGATGATGATGATGATACTGATGATGAGGATGACGATGCTGCTGATGATGCTGCTGCTGATGATGGATGATTATGATGATGATGGATGATGATGAATGATGATGAATGATGATGATGATGATGATGTTGATGATGCTGATGATGATGATGATGATGATGATGATGATGATGATGATGATGATGATGATGATGATGATGATGATGATGATGATGATGATGATGATGATGATGATGATGATGATGATGATGATGATGATGATGATGATGATGATGATGATGATGATGATGATGATGATGATGATGATGATGATGATGATGATGATGATGATGATGATGATGATGATGATGATGATGATGATGATGATGATTATGATGATGATGATGATGATGATGATGGGGAGGAGGAGGAGGAGGAGGAGGAGGAGGAGGAGGAGGAGCAGAAGGTGGAGGAGGAGGGAGGATGAAGGCGGAGCAGGAGGAGGAGGAGGCCAGTGGAAACCCAAGCGTCATCATTGTTGGTGGAATAAACCCACCCTTCAAGGTCCCTCTTCATTGCCCCCTGCAGCGGTTCATTTCCGCTGAGGGAACATCCTCGTTGGAAGACAACCGTTTGAAGACCCTGAAGCATGCTAAAGCATTGCCCTCGGAATTCCAACGCCACGGATCAACCTGACTGGTGCGTCTAAACGATCTTGAACCTTGCCAGAACACCATTTCTGAGACTTCCATTTAGCGACTCAGCGTAATTGTGGTGCCCTCATAATCCCGAATCCTTTCCAACACGACATTTCTGGTACGCTGATCGTGGGAATCCGTGAAACTCTTGCAACTTGGAACAAGAAACGAATGTGCGCAGCGCTAAGGCGAGAGCCACATTTCGAAAAGGAACCGAATCAGTGAAACTTTTGCGGCAATTTCTTGTAACGAAAGTGCGCGGCGCTAAGGCGAGAGCCACATTTTGAACTCGACCCGCCCTCAATCCGTGAAGCTCTTGCAATTTTGGTAAAAATGGATATGCGCGGCGCTGGGGCGAGAGCCACGTTTCGAAAACGCCCCGCTCTCAATCCGTGGAGCTCTTGTAAGAATTGGACAAAACGAATGTGGGCAGCGCTAAGGCGAGACCCACATTTTGAACATGACCCGCTCTCAATCAGTGAAGCTCTTGCAAATTTGTAAAAAAACGGATGTGCGCGGCGCTAAGGCGAGAGCCACATTTTGAAAACGATCCGCCCTCCATGTGCAAAACGTCATTTTCAAGCTTCAGGGTCATAACTGGTGAGGAAGTCTCAGGCGAAACGCCTGGCCCGCCCTAACAACTGGCTTCTGGGTGCGAGAGGAAAAGGAATGGAGGAGGCGGAGGAGGAGGAGGCTCCGCTGGGCGCCCGTCGACGAAAGGATGTGGCTCCCGCAGCACCACGCCTCCTCGGCGGCGCAGCGGGGCGGGCCCAAGGCTCGTTCGCGGGGGGATGGGGCCTCGCCCTCGCCCTCGCCCTCGCCGTTGTCCGTGTCCTCGTCCTCCTCCTCGTCCTCGTCCTCGTCCTCCGCATCGTCCTTAACCTCGTCCTCCGCCTCGTCCTCGTCCTCCGCCTCGTCCTCGTCCTCGTCCTTCTCGTTCTCCGCCTCGTCCTCGTCCTCGTTCCCGTCCTCGTCCTTGTCGTCGTCCTTGTCCTAGTCCTCGTCCTGGTCCTCGACTGCGCTCTCCTCCCCCGCCTTCTCAGCCTCCCCTTCCTACTCTTAGCGGAGCGGGGGGCGGCGCGGCGTGACGACCCGCGGAGAGGAATCGGTCACACGTGAGCCTACCGTAAGAATGTCCAGGTCGGTCGCCCCAACGGGGTCGAAGTGGATGGGGCTCACGTATCCTGGGTTAGCGCTAACTGGGGTCAGCCAACATCCTCTGGCTGGCCCAGGTTTGGGAGCCACGTGGGGCCGATTTCCCCTCCGCCCTCCGCTGACCTGGGTTTGGGACCTACTCAGCGGCCGGCCAGGCTTCGCGACATGGCCCTGGCCAACCCAGGTTTGCGCTGACCCAGGTTGATGCGTCCCCGAGAAGTGGGTGGGGTCGGTGGATCGCGCCGCATCGCCGATGCATTGGCGATGCGGCTCAGTTGTGGCTCCACGGGATTTGTGAGGATGGTGAGCATAGGATTTGCTAAAGTAGAAAATGATCTCGCCCCCAAGCCCATCCCCCAAACCCATTTGGTGTGTGTGTGTGTGTGTGTGTGTGCTCGGGAGCGCGCTTTCTTTGTTCTTTTGCAAGTGATCGTGGCCTCGGGAGGGGAGGTAAGCAGAGACCCTACCAGACAGCACATGTCGTTCTAACGCTCACATCGTGCAGGCACGGCGGCGGATATTCGTCAATCGTCGATGCACTCAGACCACGTTGGGCATGGGCGCGCCGTGTGTCGGCGCCCTCCTTGTGACATGTTACCCGCTACCCCGCGGTGCATATTTATTGATCGTAAAATCCAAGTTCGCAGCGCGAGCTAGCATTTTCTATCAATACCTTTGGCTCGAGCGCACCCGAGAGCGTCGCCGAAGCTGTCATACCCGCACTGCTGTCCCCTCACAGGGCAGGCGTTCGCCACCACGGCCTCGCAGATGTGGTCGGAGCAGATGGGGTCGGAGGATCGCGCCGCATCGCCGATCGCGCCGCATCGCCGATGCATCGGCGATGCGGCTCGGTGTGGAGCCCGATCTTCTCCACGGGGTCGTCGACGCTGCATCGCCGATGTACGCCGATGCATTGGCCATGCGGCGCGATCCTCCGAACCCATCTGCTCCGACCCTATCTGCGGGGCCCTCTGACCATTGATAGCCTCACAGGATTGGGAGATCGTGGAGCCTCCGAGGGCCCCCGCCTCCTACGTCTCCGACCATGTCGAGGCCAACGTGCTGCGGCCTTGCGCGGTCGACGTCGGCGGCGGGCGGTTGCTGTTCTGCCTGGAACCGAAGGCCGTGAGTATCGTTTAACCGATCCCTGCCCACAATCTTGCGGGTAAAAATGTGGTGGAATTCTTGAAGATGCCACAAACGGAAATATTATCATACAAAAGAGTGCACGCTGGCACGATGATGTTGGCACAGAACCCTCTTTTGCAGCAGGTGTTGAAGGTAAAAGCAAAGCGCATGCACAGGACGACCCCAGCCTGACTCAGCAGCCACAGTGGGAAACATTCGGCAACGACGCCGCAGATGCGGCCGCCGAATCAAGGAGCTGATTCTCGCCCGTCGGGGGGTCCAGTGGAACTGGAAGCGGCAGCGTGGCAGGGTCAGGTCTCCCGAGCTGTGTGCATGTTGGCGGCTCGTCTCCTGCCCCTCTGGCCTGCTCTGGATCTCAGTGGATGCCAGTTCGTCTCTAGAGAGCCCAGCCAGAAGCCCGTTGCCCCGCCGACGGTTTCCCATGAGTGGGCCTGGCACTCCACGTACTGGCGATACGAGGTGTGTATTAGGGTGAGAAGACCGATCAAGAATTTCGTCTGTGGCAATAGCGAGAAGCCGCCTGCAGAAGGCTGCTCTGGGGAACTGCCTGAGACTCTCCTGCATGTAGGGTCGAGGGGGCACAAGCTTTTGAGTTATGAGTGCAGTGACAGGTCGCCGCTGTTCATTTGTGTCAGGTGCACGGCAGTCTCGACTCTTGGGGCCGCTGGGTTTACTTGGCAAAACGTGTCAGGCTCCCACGCGCAGTAACCTCGAACGCTGGCGCTATAGAGCGCTCAAGGGACGCCACCCGAGGCTCGACGGAATCGTGATTGAAGCCTCGGCCGATTTCGAGGCTCTGGATAAGCCCTGTCCTAGTCAGGCCCAGCGGAGAGAAGGTGCCGTCGACCCGTCGCTACCGTCGTCATCTGCCGTCGCTCATGCTGGGCCTGAGGAAGTATCGCAAGGTTTTTCCCGGAAAGGGTGTGGGCCCAGGGTTTTCTTTTAGTCGGTAATCCCCTTCTGGTGCCAACTTCTGTAGGGCCGGTGGATATCCGCTCGACAAAAAACGAAGTAAAGTCTAATTCGGCGTGGAAGAAAATGCGTTTCGCGCGTGCCCGCTCGAAGAAAGCCGACCCCCCACCTCGGATCCTCGAAAAACAACAGGACGGGGGCCGCGGACGAGGTGAAGTCGAATTCGGCGCGGAAAGTGCGTGTCGTGCGTGCCCGCTCGAGAAAAGTCGACCCCCCATCTCGGATCTTCGATGCATGACGGGGTCCGTGGAACACCGTTTTTTTTCGATAAAAAACAAAGAGAAGTCCAACGCGGCGCGGAAGGCGTGGATATGTTGAGTTTTTGCGTGCCCGCTCGAGGATGGTGCGCCCCCCGCGCAAACAAATCAAGGATGTCTCGAGCGAAACGCTTGTTCTGCAACACTTGATGGACCTGGCCCTGGGGGCGCGGACGCGGCGTAATCTACGAGGGATTGTGGCCTTTTGGAGCGCGGACCACGCGTAATCTGCGAGGGGTCGAGGCCCTCGAAGCGCGGTTGCAGCGTAATTTACGCCTCCTCTCCCTCGCCTCCTCCCCCTCGCCCCCCCCCCTGCGCGGCAGGCCGCCACAGGGCTCTGGAAGCTGCTCGGCAAAGACAGGGAGGACCTGAGCCCTGCCGAGGACGGCCCGTGGGGCGGAGCGGCCCGTGCCCGCCACCCGTCAAGGGGCGACGAGAAGGGGGGTCAGGCATAGGGTGATGGGCCTGTTGTCCACCACCACCACCATAAGTTGGAGGGGGGGGGTCCTCCTCCTCCTCCTCCTCCTCCTCCTCCTCCTCCTCTTCTCCTCCTCCTCCTCCTTCTCCTCCTCCACCTCCTCCTCCTCCTCCTCCTCCTCCTCCTCCTCCTTCCCCCCCTCCAACTTATGGTGGTGGTGGTGGAAAACAGGCCCATCATAGGGGGGATGCATCGATCCCCAATCGCCCGTTGATCGCCGACAAGGGCCCGATAGCCCCGACCTGCCCAGGAAGGTGCGGATTCATTGTCGGGGGCTTATCGCCAAGGGTCGACGGACCGGTGGTGTGTCCATAGAGGAACAAGAAGTGACGCAAACACAATATTCGGAGGTCCGCGCGGATTTCTCGGATCGGCGCTGGACCCCGCCAGGGGCGGCGCTGGAGGCGCCGCCAGGGCGTCTCAGCGCCGATCCGAGGAATCCGCGCGGACCTCCGAGTTTTTATTCTATGCCACGTTTTGTTCCCCCAGTCCAGGCTCGGAGGCCACTCGCGCATGCGACGTGGAGGAGATGGTTCCCGGAGAGGGCGCCGGGCTCAGGGTTCTCTTTCAGCATGCCGGGGCGCGGTGGGGGGCGAGGCGGGGGGTATCGGTAGGTTTCAGGCGAGAAATTGTCGAGTGCGCGGTCCCAAGAACAGAGTTCTAGAGACCTGGGGATGCTGGGGCGCAGTGGGGGGCCAGGTGGGGGGTATCGGTAGGTGTCAGGCCAGAAATTGTCGAGTGCGTGGTCCTAAGAACAGAGTTCCAGAGGCCTGGGGATGCCGGGGCGCGGTGGGGGGCGAGGTGGGGGGTATTGGTAGGTTTCAGGCGAGAAATTGTCGAGTGCGGGGTCCCAAGAACAGAGTTCCAGAGGCCTGGGGATGCCGGGGCGCGGTGGGGGGCGAGGTGGGGGGTATCGGTAGGTTTCAGGTAGAAATTGTCGAGTGCGGGGCCCCGAGAAGAGAGTTCCAGAGGCCTGGGGATGCCGGGGCGCGGTGGGGGGCCAGGTGGGAGGTATCGGTAGGTTTCAGGCGAGAAATTGTCGAGTGCGGGGTCCCAAGAGCAGGGTTCCAGAGGCCTGTGGATGCCGGGGCGCGGTGGGGGGCCAGGTGGACGGTATCGGTCGGTTCGAGGCAGGAAATGGCGTGGGGTGGAGGTGTCGGGGCGCGGTGGGGGCGGGGGGGGGAGCGTTTGAATCGGCGAGGGAGGTGCATTGCATTGTGGTGGGCGTTCTTTTAGGCTATGTACCAAGGATCTCGCACGCACGCGCCTCTGGGGTCGGCGGATTTAACATGATAGCCCTGAGCTGAAAACATTTTTTTTTCGTGTGCGGGGCACCCAAGGAGGTATCTAACCTGCGGTCGTCTGGGCGCCTTTAGCGTGGGGGCCCATAATAAGTGCCAGGCAACATCAAGACATCTGCACCATACGTGTAGTAACTTGACACAGTTTCTTCGACTGGTGATTTTCCAGATTTCCAAATTGGGCTATTCAGCATGGTGGTCCCGCGCCAGAGCCACGTGTTTTACGTGGCCAGGCCACCCAGTGGGGTATCTAGCATGGCGGTCCCGAGCTGGAACCACGTGTTTTCATGTGTCCCAGGGGGGTACCTACATGGTTGCCTCGAATTGGAACAACGTGTTTTCACGTGTCCAGGCAACCCAGGCGGGGTTCTACGATAGTTGCCCCCAGCTGGAACCATGCGTTTTTCTCGTCCTGGCCACCCAGGGCGGTATCAAACATGGTTGCCCCGAGCTGGAACCTCGTGTGCTTTCACGACCACATGTTCGATATCCCTGGGTGGCCTGGACACGTGGCAACATCCCCTGGCGGATCCCCTGGTAGCGTTCCCCTGGTGCATTCTGTGGCGTGTCGGTGCGGCGTGCGCCCAGTGCCGTCACGTCCCGCTTCGGAATCGAGTCGGATATTGAGCTTGAGCTGATTAGGCGTCCCGCACGTTTCGACTGCAACCAGTTCCGTGCCAGCTATGCGTTCAGGCAGCTTGAGCTTCAGAGTCCGACCAGCTCGGTCAGGATTCGGACGCCAAGGGCGACTTGACGCACAACACTATAGAGCACAGCGCAATTTATCGCGGCATGGCGTATGTCGATTCAGCACGGCACAGCACAGCGCACTCCTCGGCACGGTACACCACGATCGATACCTTCAGCATTGCCATTGCTTGTCGCTTAATCAGGTGTCTCGAGAACGTGACCATGCCTCGCGCTTCTAAATTCCTTTCGGGTTTCGTGGGTCGATCAGGTTTTAAACTTTGAGGCGTCGGGTTTGGCGTGTCGCTCAAGATGCACGACATTACGTCTGATTGCGGCCCGAAGGCGACGGCCTGCAGGCGTTTTCCGCTCGGGGGCCCTGCTTAGGGCCCAGGGGACCGTCGAGCGACGACTCGGAAGGAGAGGCTGGCCTGGGGACGGCGTCGGGAGGACTGGGGCCGAGCGGGACTCCGTCGGAGGTCTGGGCGTATGGCCAGGAACGGCTGCTTCGCGCGTCGCGCCGCACGCTCGGGCCCGCCACGCTTCGGCGCGGCACGCTGGGCATTGGCGCCTCCCCCTCCCGAAGCACTCACGTTCCCAGCGGTTGCCAGCCTCCCGTCCCGCGAAGCAGGGTGGCACCTATCAGCTCACGATGCACAGCAGCACGTCCTCGCGGTGGAGGGCGAGCAGGAGACCCTCCGAGTCCTCCTGTGGCGTTGGGTTCTGAGGCCCTCGACCCCGTCCCGTCCCGTGTTTTTTTTTTGTCCGTCTGTTTGTTTTGCATCTTGAGTCGTTCTTAGACGGTCCCAGGGTCCGAAACGGGCGACTGGACGCCCAAACTGAGGAAAGACGTGCCGTCGCGGTTTTTGGTCACGTGTGACCTGAGGGTGCAATCGTAAGCTGGCCTAGGCAGCTACCCTGAGGAACGACAAGCTTGTACTGGGAGGAGCAAGCAGGGGCATGCCTATCGGCGCAGGCTGCAAGGATGCAAGGTATCTCCCACTGAAGCCTACCCTTCCCGTGATCTGCGTAGGTTGCGCCTCGAGAGAAAGAGTGGAGGGCGCGATCCGCGGCCCCCTATCCGAAAGGCGGTCGCCTTTGTGTAATCGCCCCCCTCGGCGCTCTCATCTCGGCTTCACCTGCACTGCTCCTCCTCGCGTCCCGCTCTTCCACGCCTCCTGCGCTGATTCGTCATGGCGTCGCAGCTGCTTGCACGGCGCGCCCTCTCGGCACCGCGATTGGGAGAGGGGGAGCCCTGGCCCTTCAGGAGAAGGCGGTGTCCAGCCTGTCGGTGCTCCACAGGCTCCCAGGGGGGGAGGAGGAGGAGGAGGAGGAGGAGGAGGAGGAGGAGGAGGAGGAGGAGGAGGGAGGAGAGAGAGGAGGGAGGAGGAGGAGGAGGGAGGAGGAGAGGAGGAGGAAGATGAGGAGGAGGAGGAGGAGGAGGAGGAGGAGGAGGAGGAGGAGGAGGGTGGGTGGGCTGCGTCTGCCCGGACATATGGAGGATGGGGGCGCACGGAGGCGGCGACCTCCGAGGGGGCACGGTGTGCTGGAGATCGGGCGGGGGAGCCTGCTGATGGGGTGGGCGGGTGGGCCCGCCAGCTCTGCACCGCGCGAGTGCCGTGCTTTGCTGTCGAGCCAGAGCCCTGTCAGTTCACACGACTCGGACGACAAGAACTATGCACATGCACCGATCCTGGCAAGACCCATCCTTGACCCAGGATCGGTGCATATGCCTTCCTGGCCAAGGTAGCGGGCGTATGCACCGATCCTGGGCTCAGGATGGGCCCGGCCAGAGTCGGTGTATGTGCATGGTTCTCTTTCCTCCAAAGACTGCCTGTGCCCTCGGGTCTATCATCCTGCGGTGGACCGTTTGGTTCGGCACGCCCCGCGAGCTCCCTGTGAACCTGCCGTGCGGGTCACATCCGCGGTCGAATCCGTGGTTTTTGTCCCAGCATTTCCAGATCATCTGAGTTCCAGGTCGCACAGGTGTTCCAAGGGTCTGCCAACAACGTGTTTGAAGCATCCAGTCACGTTTTCTCTGCGCGCACCCCTGTTCATCGCCGGCGTCATCAAAGTGCGCGCATGAGGTCCTCAACATGATCGATATGCGCGCATGAGGTCATCAACTCGCACGTCCTTCCGATTCGAATCCGCGAACGAGATGAGATCCTTCAAATCCCCCTCGCTCACTTGATTCACTGTCCCTTGCATGGAGGAGTAGGATGAGGACCTCGATTATGCAACTTTTTACGACGGGTTATGGTCGGGACAGCTTTCTGATCGCGCCGCTGTGATGTGAATGGGCAAAACCTTTCTGACAGGGTGGGTGGGTGGGGATGTTCGCGCATCGCCAGAACCACACTAGACCACACTACACTAGCCAGCGTGGGCCCCAAGCAGCGTTTTCTAGCATACTATTCGGTGTACTCTACGTGGTGCAATCTGCGTGGTGCGGCAAAGCAATGCAAAGTCACGCAAGCCAGTGCAAAGCAATGAGCAACAATGCAACGCAGCGCAAAGCAATGCAAAGCAACGACTAGCAATGAAAAGCAGTATAAAGCAATGCAAAGCAACGAAGAGCAATGAGAAGCAGTGTAAAGCAATGCAACTCAATGCGAAGCGACGCAAACAATTACCAAGCAATGAAGCACAATGCAAATCAATGCAACAGCAATGCAATGCAGCACAAAGCAATGCGAAGCAATGTAAAGCAATGCCCAGCAATGTGAAGCAGTGCAAATCAATGAAAAGCAGCAAGTTCCGTGCAAAGCATTGCCAAGCATTGCCAAATATTGCAAAGCAATGCCAAGCAATACAACGCAACGCAATGCAAGACACGGCACAGCACTGCAATCTCATGCAACTCAACGTAACGCAGTGCAGCGCAACGCAAAGGGGAGGCCCAGACGACGGGCGACGATGAGGCGGCGGCGGGGCGGCGACGGCGACGACATGGCCGCCAGACCGACGCGCAGGCCCAGCTCCTGAGACCATAAGTCCAACCCCCTAAAAGTGCAAGCGCTGCTTGCTTGCGGGAGGCCACGACCAGGGACCACGACCGCAGACCCCGGGCCACGACCAAAGACCACCGGCGACGACGACCAGAGACCACGGGCCAGCCGCGAACAGAGACAACGGGAGACTACGACCAGAGACCACGACCAGAGACCACGGGCCACGACCACGAGAGCAGAGACCACAACTAGACGCCAGGTGGACGAGCCGTCAGGCGGACGATACTGTGAGGTCAGTCTTGCCCCCTCCCCCATCTTGTCTGCTCGGAGCCCCATCTTGGGACAAGTGCGCCCTGCTTTTTCGTTGCCTCCTACCCTCTCCCTGCCCCTCTCGCCACTGCCCCTTCTCCACCATCTGCGATCGTGATAGTTTCTTGCTTCGCTCGTGGGGGCTTTCCCAGTGCATGGGCATGTCCCTTGTCTCCCCCCTCCCTCTTGTCCTCCTCTTCCGCTTTTTGCATTTATGTAATCGCTTCGCTCATTCCACCAGTCCATATTGCACTTCTGTTGCCAGATGTTGGTGTTCCCATAGCGGGCGAGAAGGAGGGTAAGGGACTCGATAGGGGAGGAGGAGGAGGAGGAGGAGGAGGAGGAGGAGGAGGAGGAGGAGGAGGAGGAGGAGGAGGAGGAGGAGGAGGAGGAGGAGGAGGAGCAGGCATCTCGACGGCTTCTTGGGTCTTTGGGACCACCTGGAGCCTCGCGGGGCCCCGGTGGGACATACATTGGGCTTCCAGCGGCCTCTCGAGGGCTTCTTGGGGCCTGCTGGCGGTCTCGGGGGCCAACTTTCGGGAGAGGCGCGGTATGTCTGTTCGGGTTCCCCCTTTGGGGGCCCTCGTGGGAGCCTCTGGAGCCCTCTGGGAGGCCTCTTGGGCCGTCTTGGGGCCCTCTTGGGCCGTCTTGGGGCTGTCCTGGGAGCCTCTCGGGCTGGCTTGGCGATCTTGGAGGCCTTTTGGGCCGTCCTCGGCGGTCGGAAGCTTGACAAGGTGGTAACGCCGAAATCTGTCAAAAGCCAACGCAATATCAATGATTGTTGCTCCTTCGGGCCCTCTTGGGGTCCTCGTGGTGCCCTCCTTGAGACCAACTTGGGCCATCTTGCAGCGCTCGTGGCCTGAGGCCATGGGGCCTGTCGCCAATTTAGCGCCTCCTTGGGGCGCTCTGGAGGCGCTCCGGCCCCCGAGGCCGCGCCCAGGAATTCCGGCATCTCTGACACGGACCTGCCGGGAGGGCCGGCACCTAGCCGGGGTACTTTTCGTTTGGGACCTTCCAGGGGCAGCCACGCGAGCGTGAAGTAGAAACAATACCCTTTCAGGCGGGAGGCAGCGCTTTACCAATCTTCTGGCCTGCGACCGGCACAGGAGGGGGTGTTTCGCTTCTTTTCGCGCGCTCGCTCTCTCTTAGGCCACGCTTCACCTTCTGAGTTTGCCTATCGCAGGTCGGCCGGTGGGTTGCTCCCGGTTCGCCTGGCGACTCTTTGAATCACATGGCGGCTGAGGACGTGTAGTATGGAGTTCTATGTTTGTATACAAATCAGACCAAGACCAGACACCACGGGCCACGGGTTTTGGATCGTGGGGACCCCCCACCAGCCCCTGAAATCTTTTGCAGGACATGCAAGCTGTTCAGCGAATCTGGTGAGTACAATCAAGCCCAGCAACGGCGGCCGAATGACCGTCTTCGTGATTAGGCTAACGATAGATGTTGCCGAAGATGATTCCGAAGGCCAGGCGCCCGAGGCCAACCCACTTCTCCTGGCGCCAGCGAGCCCAGCTCGCCAGGCGAGGGGCTCGCCGAGCCGAGCACCATCAGCACCGCCAGCGCTGCCGCTGCCGCCCAGCGCCCATCCCTCCGCCCCCGCTGCTGCTGCCTCCGGCCCCGCCGCTGCCGCCTCCGCCCCCGGTGCTGCGGGTGCCCCTGCTGGTTCCTGGCCGTGCGCGCTTCGCCTCGCGCCCGCACCAGTGCGGAGGGCAGCGCAGCCCAGCCCCGACCCCCGGCCAGGACCCCCACGCCCGACCTGGCGCTCCACGGGCTCCTGCCTGGGGTGGGGGTGGTTTTCTTGGGCCTCCTCCGGGCCAAAAAGCCACCCTGGCCCCCAGCCAGGACCCCGTGGATCACCAGGTCGGGAGGGGGGTCCTGGCTGGGGGGTCGGGGGGGGGGGGCTGTGCTGTCCTCAGGCGCGGCCGCGCGGCGCGCCGCCGGCGCCGCGGATGCCACGGCGCGGCCTCTGCTTCCTCCACGGCGCTGGCGGCGCAGAGGCCGGCTGGGGCTGGACGGCGAGGCCGGCAGCAGCCCGCCCGCCCGCGCAGGGCGGCGTCGCCGCCGGCTCGGCCTCCTCCCTGTCCTCCTCTTGGGCGGCGAGCGAAGGCAGAGTCCATTGTTGGGGGAACGAGTCGGATCGATCGCACCAAAATTAGGGGAACGAACAATGATGTGAACATGAACGCTCGGAGGTCGATTCGATGTCGACTCTTGCCAGGCCGATCCGACTCGGCTCCGATTTTCCGACGGCCCGATGCGGCCCGATGCCTGCATGGCGCTGCTGTGCATCCTGGCGCGGCTCCTCCGATCCAATACAGAGCTCGTGCCGATGCAGCCCGACCCGACGCACATTTCAACTTGACCCGAGTTCCCGATTCGATGCTGACTGATCCCGCAGGGGGGGCTGGGCGAGAGGGGGGCGGCCTTCAAGAGGGCGGGGGGCTTCTTCAGAGCGTGTCGGCCCGTCGACAGTGACGCGCCCCCCCTCCTCCCAACACCCCAGGCCCTCGACGTCGTGATTTTCTTATGACGTGGGCCCCCAGAGGTCTCGACCCACTCCACAAGCTCCTTCCCAGAGCTGCCAGGGCTTCTTCGAAGGAGCTTCCGAGGCTTCTGTCGCCTCGCTATCCGGGTTTTGGACACCACAAGTTTTTTATGAGGCGGTCCCCCAGATGTCTCAATCCGTTCCCGGAGACCAGTCTTCATCATGATCATCATGATCATCATGATCATCATGATCATCATGATCATCATGATCATCATGATCATCATGATCATCATCATCATCATCATCATCATCATCATCATCATCATCATCATCATCATCATCATCATCATCATCATCATCATCATCATCATATCATCATCATCAAGCCACATCGGCTCCCCCGCAGGAGGAGCACGGCTTCGTGCGCATGACGGCCCACCCTTCGCCTGTGCCCGCCATGGTCAGCCGCTGGAGCCGCGGGGTCGTCCCCCGCCGATGACGACGCCTGCTTACCAGCTCCTTCGGAAGGTCAACGTTGGCAGCCT